CCCCCCCCCCCCCCTTTATACGGCCTCAGCCTTTTCTCCGACCAGCCAGGGGTGAATGGGAGACACTGGTGAGCGGCAAACTCAAGGCCATCCGCTCGTGTGCACGCTTGTGTCAGCATGCGCACGTGTGGGAGGCCGTGTTACAGTCTCTCCGCCACGGCTTTGGATCAAAAGTGCTTTGAAGATGCTCGCTTCTCCTCGGACTTCCTGAGCTGGTAGCCCTCGATGCCAAGCCGCGATCCCGGGACGCTGGAGACAGGACCTAGTCAGAGGAAGTCGGAGTGTGGCACATCTCCACTTCAGAGAGGAACAGAACGTTTCCGGAGCCACAGAAGCCTGGCCTGGCTGTAACCAACCTGTGACCCGAAAATGGCTGGGTTTGTAGCTGACCCGGGGAAGAAGGGGTGCACGGTTACACTCCTGCACAATCTATGTGCTAGGGTGTTGCCATGGCAGGTGCTGTCTGTCTGTCAAGCATGCCCTAATCTCTTCCGCCAATTCCTCTTCTTTTCTCCCCAAATGTAACCCTTCTGTCCTGAGAAGCAGAGATGGAGATTAAAGAAAGGCGACTGGAAAAAGTGCTAAGGCCAATAAGAATTAAAAAGCTGACATGTTGGAGTAATGCCCTTTCGGAATGTACACACTTTTTACCCTTCTTCATTCAAATGCTGATTTCTCTCCCCCACCCTCTGGTTTCAATCCGGACACTGCACTGTGATACTTACTCTAAACATCACCTGTCTCAACCTCGTAAACATGCCAAAATAAAGCAGCTAGCCACAATGTTGAGCAATAGAAAGGAAGTAGGAAGAGAGGGAGGAGCCAGAGGATAGGAAGGTGGGAGGAAGAGAGAAGGGCAGAAGAGAGCTGGGAGAACAGAGGCAGGAGCAGAGATCTTGGAACGAGGTGGAGAGATGGCCTGGACCTAATATATCACTAAAAGCAAGTATAATGTGGGAAATCTAAATGTTAGGAAACCATGCGGGCTTGGAGGTTTAGGGTGGAGTAACTATTGCCCAGCGATGTGTTCTAGGTTAATTAAATAAATCATAGTCTCTGTGTGGTGATTGGGTTATACAGCTGTTTAGAATTAACAGCAGCTTTACCAGAAGATACATCAATAGTAAATATTAATCCCGTCTACAACACCGACAGCCTAGGGAGGAGACATTTTTCTTTTTGTTTTCATCGCCTTCATCATGCCCATTCTTTTTTTTTTTTTTTTCCAAATTTTAATTTTATGTGCTTTAGTGTTTTACCTGCATGTATGTCTGTATGAGGGTGTTAGGTCCCCTGGAACTGGAGTTACAGACAGCTGTGAGCTGCCATTTGGGAGCTGGGAATTGAACCCAGGTCCTCTGAAAGAGCAGCCAGTGCTCCTAATCACTGGGCCACCTCTCCAGCCTCCATAATTTCCAATCTTAATGTCAGTTGTTCATGGTCAGAGCAGCTTCTATCTCTTCCTGTTCTACCTTGTTTTTAAATGTGTGTGTGTGTGTGTGTGTGTGTGTGTGTGTGTGTGTGTCCTTTAGAGCCAGAGGACAACTCAAAGCACTTGGTTCTCTCTTTTCATAGGTTCTGGAAATTAAACTCAGGTCATCAGGCTTGGTATCTCCTGTCTACCTTCTTCAGGAGCAAGTTCATCCCTCTCCATGTCTAATGACCCTTTGCCTCCCTGTTATCCCTAAATGTGTCCCCCCCTAGACTGTCAGTCTGATTAGATTCAAAACCACACAGGTGCCAACTGGATGATCCATTAGGACAGTGGTTCTCAACCTGTGGGTTTCCTTTAGGGGAGTCAAATGGCCATGGGAAAACAGACATTTACAGTACAGTTCATAACAGTAGCAAAGTTGCAGTTCGCTCTCCACGTTTCCAAGTTAAAGCTGAACTCACTTCTCCTCCGCCATCCCGACCCCCACCTGCTTATCCTCCTGAATTCTGCAGCACCATACATGACACCGCACACTTTAACTTTAAACCTTGTCAATTTTCTTGGGTTTTGTCTTTGTTTTTGTCTTTGCTTATGGAACAGGGTGTCACTATGTAGCTCAGACCAGCCTAGGACTCATGAACTGTCTCCTTCGGCTTCGCAGGTGCTGGGATTACAGGCATGAAACACCACACCAAAGCCTGAGTGTTTCTACTTATAATCCATAAACATCCACCGTGGAAGAGACTGAGCAGGTACCTCAGAAAGCACATGGCACCCCTTTCTCAGGGCCTTAAGCTTCCTTACTCCCTTCTTCATAGACATAAGTCTCGAAGTGTGATACCTGGTCGGTCATCACCAATGACATTTTGAGACTACCGCAGACCTGCTGAACCAGCAATATTAGAGTCCTGCAATCTGTTTTACTAATCCCTAAAGTGACCTAGGTTGCACTGTGTAGGCCCTGGCAACAAATACTCTTACAAGTGGCCTGAGTTTCTTGTGATTCACTTCCAACTGCTCTGTTCAGCGTGGAAGGGGACCATGCCCCTTCCCTGTCGAAACTGCTTCTGGGATCCACCAGCATGGCCCACTCCAAGAACAAAACTCACTAGCTGACATTCTAGGTCTTGTGGTTACTTTTCCTTTCCTGCTCTGTGAGTCACTTCACAAGAAGTCTAAAGGAGGGGCTGGAGAGAAGTCTCAGGGGTTAAGAGCACTGGCTGGTCTTCCAGAGGAGCCAGGTTCCATTCCCAGCACCCACATGGCAAGAACCACCACTGTAACTCCAGTTCCGGGTGATCTGACGCCCTCTTCTGGCTGCCACTGGCACTGCACCCATGTGATGCACAGATATGATGCTGGCAGAACACATAAAACAAGAAATGACTCTTAAAAAAAAAGTGGGAAGGGTATCTAGTACTTTTCTTGGTGCATGTCAGGCAGCCAACAAATGCCTACTAAATAAACAATCGAATGAAAAGATAACTACAATTTCCCAAGTGGGTTAAGGGACTCTTTGGAAGGGCTCTTAAGTGAACATGACTCAGGTTAACTATATGTAGGACCCAGTTGTAATCTGAGGAGCTCATCTGACAAGTGATCGATTTGATTTATTTCTTCCAGGGAGGGCCATGTGCGTCATGATCTACTTCTTCTTTAGAGATCAGTAGAGCTGTGGAATACCAGGGTTTCAGACCCTTCTGCTTCAGGGACAAAGGTTCTTTAGACTGTAAAGCATTGAGGTGACGATTTCTTCTTCTTCTTCTTCTTCTTCTTCTTCTTCTTCTTCTTCTTCTTCTTCTTCTTCTTCTTCTTCTTCTTCTTCTTCTCCTCCTCCTCCTCCTCCTCCTCCTCCTCCTCCTCCTTCTTCCTCTTCTTCTTTCTTCCTTCTCCTCCTCCTCCTCTTTTTCCTCCTCCTCCTTCACAAGGTTTCTCTCTGTAGTCCTGGCTGTCCTGGATTCACTTTGTAGACCAGGCTGTCCTCCAACTCATGGAGATCGCCTGCCCCCTCCCTCCCCCAGTGTTGGGATCACAGGCGTGCCCCACTGTGCCTGGCCCAGGTGACGATTTCTTATGGCTTGTTCCTTGTGCATGCACTTGGATGGAAGCCTGGGGTATGCACAGAGAGAGCCCTGGGAAAATGGAGGCACAGCAGGCACAGCTACATTCATAAACAGGATATTCATTGGTACACAGGTGTGCATGCTCAGATACACATGGACTCTGATTTGACATGCTTGGATTATTCCTCTTCCAAGGCTCACATTTTCTCCTCTCTTAAAAACAAACAAAAAATACAAAAACAAACAAAACACCGCAAACTTTTGGCCTCCGTTGTCAACAGAGTCACATTCCTCCTCCTAAGGGACCCTGTCTTCAAGTGCTTGCTGGGAAGGGAAATCTGGCAAAAGATGCTGAGGCTCCATCTGGTGGTTGGAGTTTACCACTGCAGCTCAGCACTCATTTCGGACTCAGCTGAAGTACCCAGAGCAAGCACAGCCTTGCAACTTTCAGTTTAGGCCCCTGCCTGCTCTGGAGCCTGGAACCCTCTCACCATGCCTTGTGAGAGGACAGAACTCAGCAGAACTCTGCCTGCCTTGTGTTTTCCAGCTTTGCTGGCTTTGCCATGCAAGAGAGCAGTGGCAGCAGCCATGGACAGTAATCATTTGCTTTGTGGCCCTTCCCTTCTCCTTTCCCCAGATGATCTGTCGCTTCCGTGATTCTAAGGAACCTCTACATTGATTGCTCCCGAATCTGTTATCCTCTCAAACGTCTTTCCAGGCTCTAGGCTAAGGGAGGAAACTACTTCTTCGATGTCCCATGAGCAACACAAACCATTTACCTAACAAATCTCTTCACGAGCCTGCGTCTCTTCCAGTGTTTCCCATGACAAAGTGGTCCCGCTATCCACACAGCAGTCACAGTCAGTGATCTGGGCCCACCCTCGGCTTCCCCATTCGTTGTTCCTCTTCACTTGTAATTAATTTCTAAGTCCTATTTCCTAACTCCCACTTATACCGCCCTCATTTCCATTACCACTGGCTTAGTTCCACCACCACCCTGCCTCGATAGTTCCCCGTTTGCTCCGTTCCCCACCTAGTCTCCCTGCACTTGCTAGATTGCCCAAGTTGGCCCCCAAAACTCCTTCGTGAGTTAGCCTCCAGAGTGCTGGGGTTACAGACATGCCAACTCCAGAGGTTCCTTTTGCAGCCAGCCAGCCATCTTTCTAAAATACAAACTCTCCAAAATCCGCAGTCTGGTCCTGTGACATGATCTCATATTTAAAAGGTTACATCGCTTGTCTCTGGATAGTAAGCTGCGTGGTGCAGGTTAGCTTGTCTTCTCATGTTTATCTGAGAATTGTTTTCAAGTGAAGAAATGCAGATGTGGTTTGCACAGCCGTCCACAGGTAAGAAACAGGACGTACCCAGTGAATGCTTATGGCTTGAGGGCCTAGATGGAGCCTGCAGATGGAATAGACCAGGGGTCTATTCTGGCTCCAACCTGACAGATTTGGCTCTAGCTTGGAACAGCAAAGGGTACCCGGGCCTTCCTCTTCTTATTTGGCACAGATCGTAGGTAAGCAGCTGGTAGCTTGAAAGCCATATCTGGCCTGTGTTTTGTTAGACCAATAGTGACTTAATTGAAAATCATGTTTTCAATGTTTGAGTTGGATTCCATATAAAAAAAACCTAGGATTTACAATCCCCTCCCCTTTTATTTATTTATTTTGGTTTTTCAAGACAGGCTTTCTCGGTGTAGCCTTGGCTGTCCTAGACTCACTTTGTAGACCAGGCTGGCTTCAAACTCAGAGATCCACCTGTCTCTACCTCCCCAAGTGCTGGGATGAAAGGCGTGCGACATGAGGTTTCTGCTTACTTTAGAAGTTGAAACATGGCCTGTAAGATTGCTCAGTGGGCGAGCTACTTGCCACATTAGCTTGGCGACTTGAAGTCTATTCCCAGAACCCGTAATGGTGAGCAGAAAGAACTCCAGAGTTCCTAAGTGCTACAGGACATGTGCCCAACCCTCAACCACATACCCAGTAACTTTTTTTTTTTTTTTTTTTTTTTTTTTTTAATGGGAGGGTAAGAATGACCCTGAAAACAAATTGCTGAAGGGACAGCACTCCTGAGAGCCCCACCAGGTCTGGCCACATCGACATTTGGGTTTATGACCCTGTCATACCATGGCAGGGTGCGTCTAAAACTTCTCTGGGTGTAGAGCCAGAGCTACGGCGCTTTCTTCCCAGCTCCTGGGGGAGATGCATGAGAACATGTTAAGCGTTTAGGAGGATGTGTGGCCCACTGAGACAGTCTACTGAGATTTCAGGCACCTTTTGCTTTGGCCTCCATAGCAGTCATTGCTAACACCTTTATGTTACATTTTTTGTCTCTGGATAGTAAGCTGCGTGGTGCAGGTTAGCTTGTCTTCTCATGTTTATCTGAGAATTGCTTTCAAAGGAATAAATGCAAATGTGCTTTGCACAGCCATCCACAGATACTGGTGAGCAGGTCAAGATTCCGATCGGCACAGAGTAAGTGCAGGGCAGACCACAAAGGAGGCTTCTCATCACCAATAAACATTTATTGAGTGTCCACATGTGCACAGCTTTGAACTTGGCGATCACAGAACGCACTGGGGGGGGGGGGGGGGGAAGCAGGGGTCAGGTGAATGCGGGTCTCCAAAGGTTCAAAAAGGTAGTTCCTGCTGGAGCCGCCAGTCGCGTCTCCCTGCAGAGAAGAGTCTTAGCAGGGACTGGGATAGGGGAGTTGAAGCCAGGCACCACGGTGGCAGTGGAGTGCAATCACTGGGAAAACATGCGGATTCTAGGGTGGTGTAACCTCCTGTTCCTGGCTCCAGCCAGGCCAGATGGCACCAGGGGCACAGGGATCTGATGCTCAGGTGTCCAAGCAGGGATAAGGACAAGCAAAATAAATAACCCCAACCCCCATCTTCATTCTGCCGCAACATGACACAAAAGCTCAAGAGACCTGGGACCAAGGACTCTTAGGTCGCCTCAAGGAAGCGCAGGTGGAAAGAGGTTCCCCACCCCCCACTAGTCTGTCTGCTCCAAATTGCCCTGGAAGGATAGGGGCAACTTGGACCCCGGGTCACTAAAGTTGAAAGGAAGAACTGTGATGTCAATGGCCTGAGCCTACTCTCTGTCCAAGAGGACCACAGGCAAAAGCCAAATGGCCAATTTAAAGGGCGCGGACCTAGGGGAGCCAAAAGGGGCACCACAGCCTTGGGGAGGCCACGCCCTGGCCGGCAGGGCACATGGGCTGAGGCAGTCAGTGCCTGCCAGCCCACTCCTATCCTGGAACCTCCCTCCTGTAAGGGAGCCAGACATTGGGTATAATGACACTTAGTTGCCCTCTTCCTGGGGGCTGCTCCAACCTTCCCCGGCCTGGCGGGGCCAACCTCTGTTCCAAGCCAATCCCTGCCCCAAGGGAGCTGGGGGCAGGATGTAGT